TTCCAAGTGGTAGGACAGGAATACAGAGCAAGACGTTGAAGGCAAAAGCATGCCAGTGGCGTACACTGCTCAAAACCACAAGAGCCCTTAAAAAACACAAGAGCCATTGATTTGGTTGTCCTATCACACCGACCAACCCAGGACTGGTGTGCAAGATGTTTCCAGCAGGGCCCGACCGGCTAGTCCGAGCAGTCGGGAGAGCAGGGCGCACAGGGGCACCGGCAACCCTGTAAGACACAGTGAGGTCACTGGGTGTGGGTCTGCGGCCCTCCTGGGTGCTTCTCAGCAGCATGGACCACATGGCGGTGTTCCCCCAGGTGTTCTACACTCGCTCCCTACTCTGTCTGGTAGAGGATGAACCTCCTGTCTCCACCACTCTCCCCATCTGGCTGACTTCCAGAGCCTGCTGGGCCCCTGATGAGGCAGCCAGGCTGATGGTGATGCACAGAAACAATGATAGCGGGCAGCTGGCCATCACCACCTACGAGCTGGGGGCCAAGCAGTCCCAGGAAGGAGTGGACGTTGTGGGTAAGGGTCCCCGTGCCAGGACTGTCACTGTTGCACTGTGGTGCCTCAAGCACAGATTCCTCGTGTTTCCTTTGGGGCGCTTTTCTTCCCTCTCAGTGAACATAGCGGCCCAACAAATGTCCTGTTGTTTGTGATTGTACTGGCTGAGTGGTTGAGCGCTTGGCGCAGTCCGGGCCTTCTGTGTGGCCCTGGGATCCAGACACGAACCACTGACTACGTAGTCTCGCCCCTCCTCACTGTCTTGTCACAGCTGTGGCAGACACACTCTTCTTGGTGCTAAGTGTGCACAGAGATGAGTAAAAGCCACAACCATTTCTTCCCCAGGGAGCTCCCCAGCCAGCAGGAAAATAAGACCCATAGCTGTCTTTTTTTCTGCCTCCTCTCTCTCCCAAACTGGATGTCACTGTGACTGGCCTGCCGTGTGGCCCTTAGAATTTTTTCTTTTGTATATATTCATTTGTTTTCATGTCATCATTTGACCATAAACTTTACTTTGAGCTTCTTAGCAGCCAGGGAGAAAAGGGAAACGGGATGTGTATTCTAATCCCTTGTTTGGTATGAGCATGAATTCTTCGAAAGGTAATTTTTTTCCTTGCTGGTAAACCATAAGGAAATGATCCAGTTAATTAAAAACAAAAACAAAAAACAAGGAATGCTATACAGTATAAAAGACAGTGTCATCATCATAGTTTTTGGCAGATGTTATAAATGTCATCTTCTCATGGCGCCATGTCTTACATCACCCTGCCGTAGCTGGGGAGGGGCAGGGGGCCTATCCCCTGGAAGGTACATGTGCCAGATACTGTCACTTCCACATGCATTTTTGCCTTGAATCTTTACAGTCCCCTTAAGTAGGGCACCGTCACCCGTATTGGGAGGGCGGATGGCCGGGAGGGTTCAGGGGGTGATTGCAGGTGTGACCACAAAGGTGTCGGTGTTGTCAGTGCACCACGTCCTCTGAGGTGAGGCACGTGTACCCCGCGCCCCCAGCTGCTATTGAGAGATGACAATCTGTGTTTTTATTTGAAAAAGTACAACAGATTGCAAGTTTCCTTCTGCCAGACACCATGACACCTCCTCACCTCATGAAGGGCCACGGCTCTCAGGTGATCCTGCTGGTGTCGGGGTCGGAGCTGGTGCTCTTCACCATCCAGGGCCTGCAGCTGGCAGCCTTCCAGGACCACCAGAAGCCTGTCACATCCCTGTGGGTGGTGAGTGTGGGCCCGCCTGCCTGCGTCACGGCCCCGCCTCCGGAGCCTGTGGCTCCGCCTCACGTGGCTTCTCATTTCAAGGACCAGAGCCGAGTCCTCACTGCTTCCTTCGACCTCTCCCTGCGGGTCTACGTGTGGAATAAGGAAAATAAGTTTCCTGTCCTCAAGAGCTGCTATCACCTGCTCGGGGGCTCCCACAGATGGGCCAGGTAACTGCTTCCAGTTCCCTTTGCTTGACCCGTGAAGTGGCCTCACCTGGCCTGCCGGCGGCAGCTGTTAAGGCATGTGACTGGGACTTGGGTCTCAGCCCGGCCTATTTGCGCTCTCTGGGGACCTGAGATAAGTCCCTGCTCAGATACCATTTCCTCCTCTGCTTGAAAACAAAGATGCTAAGCAGCATCTACATTATCTCTTCTAATGTACAAAACTGTCACCTACAGTTGGTACCACCCACTCTCCCAGATCAGAGGCTCTGAGATGTGGCTCTTTTGCCCACAGTCCCACAGGGACGCACAGGGACGCCCAGGTGGGCCCGGCATGGACTGCAGCCCCGCTCTCACCCCCCGCCCTGAGCCACACGACTCCAAAACCATTTCCCAAACGCAGATGGTGGTGGAGTCAGTGGGGTGGGGTGGGAAAAGTCCCAGAGAATGCAGTTTTGCTTTGGTTCTTTAATTAGTATTTTGGAATCACTTGTTTCTTCTTGCCAGACTGAGTTCTGCAAACGGACAGGGCGGGCAGACCTGCCCCGGGCTGCTCACGGTGAGATGGCTGACCGCCATCACTTAACTGGTATGAGGTCGGAGGTAATTGCAGCCTCCTGTGGCAGACATTTTACTGTCATAAATGAAAAAATACCAAGCCCCAAACCAAATATTTAAAAAAACTAGATTTCTGTAACAAACCTACCTCATTTCTGAGTTTTCAGTCAGTTGTCATTTGAAGATAATTATTAAAGCAAACTAATTAATACAGAAAAGCTTCATTCCTTTTAGTAAACAAACTCAACTTTCTGGTAAGAAAGAAGTAGAGATTCAGCTTAAATCTTATGATAACTGGTAGGTTTTAACACTCTCTTAACTTGCTAAACAAAGCATAGAGGACAGCCTGATGCTCCCGTTCTGAGAAGGACTTGCATCAGTTGCTTCTTCACTCAGGATTCCTCCTTAAATTCCTTTGAAGTTTGAGGCCATGTTTGCATCTGCTTTGCTGTATCTTTGCTAGTTAACACCCTTACACGCTTGCCCCTTCATGCCGCTGCCCTTCAGGGGCGGAGGCATCGTGGCTTCACAATGCTGAGTCTGCCTGTGACCAGGGGCCGGCGTTTGTGACATACCTCTCTGGCGGGAGAGGTCCCGCTTAGACGCCGCAACCACTCGGACCGTCGTGATGCTTCCTCCTCCAGAGGCAGGAAGCCTCTCTCTGCTGAGGGACACACAGTGCAGACATTTGTTCTCATGGTCGCTGGCAAGTGAGGGGATTATGCTCCCATGTTGGCCTCAAAATACACTTTTCCCATTTCTTTTCTATGTGTGTCTTTAAAGAATTCTCTACATCATTCCTGAGTGATTAGAGCATCCTTTCACTGAAATAACACTGTTTCAACTAAGCAAGCAAGTGGCACTTTTAGAAACTTCTTTTTTACATGTCTTTTGAAACACTGCCCTGCATGCACTACACAACAGAACCCTCGTGCTGAGCAGGTAGCGCTGTGAGACTCTTGAACACGTGTTTTTACACGCTGAATTACATGGATGTAGAATGGAAAACATCTTTCACTGAAATGACATCATTCTCAACGTGATAAATAAGGAGCACACTTACTTAGAAATATCTTTTCAAAAGTGTGCTTTAATCAGGACCCCAGAAGGGATCATGATTTTCAATTATGCCCCTTTCCTAATTCAGAAGAGATTCCTTCAGAAATCCTTAGTTGAGTGGTAATTTCTTCTGGGAGCTTCATTTGGCAACAATAAACCCGGCACTCTTGCTCCATGCTGTTCCCCGGAAGTTTTTTCCAGCACCTTTTTGAATGCCTCAAGACATAACCAGTACTTTCTGAGAGCTTTTCAGTTTCCTAAAATGTTATCATCTGTGAATACATAATGCGTAAATAATTCTCCAAAGAAAACAGGGAAAATGGGTGTGTGAAATATAACTTTACCAGAAACCTAGCCATATACCCCCAGGTATCTACCCAAGAGAAATGTTACATCCAAACAAGGACTTGTACATGAACGTTCTTAGCAGCTTTATTTTGTCTTGTTCTATTTTTAGTGTGGAGTTTCTTCTAAGCTAAAAGGTAGTTCATGAAAGCCAAAGTGGCAATATTTTAGAAGCAATCTATGGCCAAAACCAGCTTCTACAGGAAACTCAGGTCCCTTTTGTGGTTTGGCTGGTATGGTTCCGTCCCCACCTGCTCACTCTCTGTCATACCTCAGAGCAGCATTGTCTTTCTAGGCAAAGACAGCATCATGGAGAATGACGGCTCCTGTCGGTATCTTTCACTGAGACTGGCTGGGAATTGATGGCCTGATTCTCGGTTCTGGGGAAATGACTCTACCCTGTTGAGATTGGATTAGGTGCCTGTTCTCTACTGGGAATTTCTAGACTTGCTGAAATCATAATTCAGACAGCTACCATCAGGAGGGCCCAAAGCTGATACTCCCACTCCAGAATGTGAGCATATTTGCTAACTGGTAGGAATGAATGCAGGTCTCCACACGGATGGGGTGCACTAGGGTGGAGAAGGTCCAGAGGTTGTGTTCCATCTTCATGTAAAGGCTTAGCTACTTAAATGTGTCTTCCTCAAGTTTAACATGCAGCCTGTCCCTTCCTTTTGCAGTGGATTCACCCATGTGGAAAGTGACAGTATGAGCATTGTAGGTGTGGAAGCCAGAAGCATCGGGACGAGTATTCTGAGGTCATATTGCTTCAACATGCAGCATGGCTCAGATGATTGTGTCAATTGAAGATAATCTCATTTTGGTGAAAAGCTTGTCTACATACAAACTAAATGATTTTTTTTTTTTTTTATCAACACTGGAAAAGGAATGAGCAATTCTCAAATGCCTCTTACGGGCCAGGCACTGTGCTATGTGACTTTTTTTTTTTTTTTTTAAGATTTTATTAACTTATTTGACAGAGAGAGACACAGCGAGAGAGGAACACAAGCAGGGGGAGTGGGAGAGGGAGAAGCAGGCTTCCTGCAGAGCAGAGAGCCCGATGCGGGACTCAATCCCAGGACCCTGGGATCATGACCTGAGCCGAAGGCAGACGCCTAATGACTGAGCCACCCAGGCGCCCTGTGACTTTCTTTTTAAATCCTCACAACAAGTCAATGAAGGACATATGATGTCTCTATTTTTCAGACAAGGAGCATGACCAGTAACAGAGACCCATTATTGGCCTGTTGTCTGGCTGCCATGCCACCTGCCCAAGCTTATTCAGATAGTAAGTGGGAGAGAGGAGTGGATGTAAGAAGGCCCATGTTGAAGGTACTAGACTTGTATCCTGATTGTTTTGTTGTTCAGATATGTAGTGAAGTAAGGAAATGTCCTATTCTGTTACATGCTTTAGACACACATTAATAAATAGTTGTGTGGTGCCACACTGCAGAACTCTAGGGACACCATTTTGTACTCTGTGCAAGTGGCATCCCCGGCGTTGGTCCACAGGGAGGCCCTGGCTGCTTTGGTGGGCGTATCATTAGCGTTCTCAACTGTAAGCAACAGGATAGAAAGCAAGAAAGGAATTTACTGGAAGGAAATAGAGCAGTGCACCAGGTCAGTGGGAAGGCTGGAGGAACAGACGTGGAACTACAGGAAGCAGGGCAGCGGGCAGCAGCCAGGGCCCGTTCCAGCAAGGTCTGGCCTGCCGTCATTCTCCCCGAGCGCTCCCATGGTGCTGCCGCTGTCTGAAAACGTCCCAGCTGCCCCGACGCTCAGAACACCAGGATGTGTGCGCGACCTTCTGGCTTCACCACATGCCCACACCACCTGGGCCAGGATGCGGGAGAGCGACCCCTTCAGCTTCAGTTGAGCGGCTCCCAGTCGACTTGCACTGTGAAAAATTCTTCAAAAATAGGAAGCATTCTTGAGAAACAGACAATGAGGATGAAAAACTCTCTACTACAACCTGTGGCTTCAGCTGTCCAGTACCACAGCCCCTTCTTCCTGGCACTTTATACCCAACATAGCACCTGTGCCCCATATAGACAAACCCAGATATAGCCATTTCCTCAAAAGGAAAAAATCTATAGCCTACCCTCACCCCCTTTAAAAATCTAAGATAAGGTTTATTTTGGGATAATTTTAGGTTTACAGAAAAGTGGCAAAGGCAGTGCCGTGGATTCCATATACCTTTTGCCCAGCCTCCCCTGGTGTGAATATCTTACATAACGTAAGATATTTGGAAACCCAAGGTCTTTGTTACCTTGAAGTCAGAACTCTCTGTTAATCCTATTATAGCCCTATCTGGTACTCAGTGGTCCTAGTGCATCCTGCATACAGCCATGGGGGAAAGGGAGAGGAGACAAGAAATTAGCTAAAATAAACACACGTGACACGGCAAGAAAGGAAACAGCTGTTTCAGAAGATGAAGGGAAAGTTCAGGTAAGTTGAGATATAGGAGTTTTTGGTGGAGACACATGGAAAGAGGGAGTGTTGGCAAAAGGGGAGGTCAGATAAGGGAATGGTAAGTGTATGGGCCACCTGAGAGGCATGGACATGTGGTGACTGGGAAAGCAATATGGTCAGTTCTTAGGGAAGGCAGCCAGCCAGAGCCTGGCATGTGCTGGCTGCAGCATTAGGGTGGTGTCATGTCTGGCTGTGGTGGCCCTGCCCAAGGACAGCGCTGTGGACCCCTGCTTTGGGTGTGATGTGGGAAGCTTAGGAGGGAGTCCTAATGGGAGCACAGGAAACTCTTGTGGAAAGTGTGTGTGTGTGTGTGGAGTCTGGCAGACAGGCTCCTCATGGGAAAGCAAGGTCTGTGAGGTGTGATAGCACGACCTGGTGGAAACACAGATGACTCACGTCCTCTAAATCCAAGTTCTGAGGCTTCTTTCTCCATACGGCCAGGACTGCTACTGCTGGGGGAGCACAAAGGCCTCAGTGGCACCTCTGAGTCCTGCCAGTAGGCAGATCTCATCCTTCCTCTGAGCCTCTTACTCTAGGTGCAGGCCAAGATACTCTGTATTAAGTAGAAATAGAAAACATTGAAGAATTTTCCCTAGTACTTGGCCACAAGTGAAGTCTTCACAAATTCCAAAATACTAATTGCTAACTATAAAATTCCTTTTTGAAAAGACAGTCATGCCAACACACAAACACACACCATTAAAATTCACTTTTAAATGATGAGTTAAATAAAATCTAAGCAGAAATGATGAAATATCAAAATAATAGAAGATAATTTTCTTAACTGGGTAAAAGGAATATGAAAGACTGCAAACATGCTTAATGAAAGGTAATCACAAACATTTCTACTGATGTTAGAAACGAGGTAAGCACGACATTGATCACCACCATGATTAGTATTGCCCTGGATGTACTAATGTAATACTTTTTTAAATTCTAAAAAAAATGATTAGAAATGGGTATGTGTGCTATAATTTCTAAATAGTACTATCTCCTTTAGAAACTTAAGAAAATCATTAAAATTAGCAAATCAGGATTGGTGAATAGGTTATCTACATGTTGAAATTAGTGTAACAAAAATTAGAAAATATGATAGGAAAATTATCCCATTCACAGTAACACCAGAAACTATAATATCTTGGGATCTAAAAAGAAGAAAAACTTTATGAAGAAAAAACACAGCTTTTCTAAAGGAATAAAGAATAGAGATAACCCATGTTCATGGATAGAAGAATTACTGCTTCAAAGAGACCATATAGTGAAAGCAATACCAATAAAATTCCTACCATTTTAAAACCAATGTAAAAAGATGATTATTGGATGTATATGGAGCTATAAAAGGACAAGAGTAGCCAAGACAGTCTTGCAGGAACAAAAGGGCAAAGGAAGGGGTAGACCTGCCCTTTGAATTATGAAGACAAAATTAAACTTTGTCATTGAAGCAAGTGGCATCAGTGTGTGAATAGACAACAGAGAATCAAGAAACAGACCCAGGTATGTTTGGAAATTGGGTATACAATATAAGTGACATTTCAAGTCAGAATGTGATCTTGGAAGGACTGGCTATCCAAATGGAATAAAATCAGATTGCTTCCTCATACCGTGCACAAAAATAAGTTTTTTTTTATGTGTAAAGGATCTAAACAGCATTTTTAATTATAGGGGAAAAATTAGAAAAGGGATCATAGAAAAGCAAAACCCATAGCGAAGTAGTCTATATCAAAATTTAAATCTTTTGTACAAGTGACACCATAACCAAAATTAAGACAGCCATTGACAGCAACCCCTAAATTGAACTAAGAGGAAATGTAATTTACAGAAGAAACCAAACCCTAAAGTACAGGAGAAAATGCTCAAAATCATTAGTAATCACAGCCGAATAAAATAATGACCTATCACTTTGTACTATTAGGCTGGCAAAAAAAAAGTAGAAAGCTGGATGAAGCTGAGTGTGTGCAGACACATGGACACAGGACCCAGTGATGGAGACGGCCTCAGTCCTGTCCGCACTTGCATGTCTGGCCAATCCAAGGTACGTGTTCCAGTAGCGCAGGTTCAGGGTAGCTGTCTCAGCCCCCTACCAGGCCCCCTCTCCCCCCCATTCCCCTGTTCTGGTCCACAGCAGGCTGCCTTCTCATTCCCCGCGCCTGGCAGGAGGGGCAGGTTTAGATGCTAATCTCCTTTGCTCTGAGGGTGAAGCTCTTTGAGGTCCTAGCTCAGTGTGGGACTCAGTCTTGTGCACCTCTGGTGAGTACCACCCAGCACCTAGTGGCTGACAGCCAGCTCAGGATGCCCTGCAGTGTGTGCCTCAGTCAGCTCTAAGTGCAGGGCAGCCTGGCACAGATGGGTGCCAACCGCAGGAGAGACGGAACTGGTTGAGGGAGTTGGAGATGTGTAAGTTTTGCGCCCCAGCTCAGTCCACCCTTTTGCACCACTCCCTCCCATTGTGTACATCTCTCAGACTACATTGTTGGGCTTACCATCTCCGAGCCTCCTCCTGCTGAGAATAAAGGCATCCTTACTCTGGAAGTGTGACCAGAGTCCCAAAGTTGATGATGACCTGTTCTGGATGCCTGTGGCAAGAGCACTAGTGAAATGAGCAAGAGCCCCTCTGCTGGATTCCCTTTAAGCAGCATTTTGGGCTATCTGGGCTGCTTATTTGGTGGGGTGACCCAGACCTTCATCCCCAAGGTGATGGTTGTGGTGGATTCCCTTGCTCATTGAAAGTCACTGCTGCTAAGTTACTGCTAAGCGATACCCAGTTACTTACCTAGGTTGTAGACACACTCCACTCTACTCGATTATCTACTAGCAACCTTAGTCCCTGATGTTTGTCAGTTACAGTCCCATCAGAGCCAATCCTTTCTTTGCCTGTTGGGCTACTGGCCAAGAACAAAAAAGAGTCAGGTGGTAGTCATAGCTTCCCCTTAAAAGGAATGCTTGCTGTGACCCTGAAAGAATTGTCTCCACTCCTATCTCCAGGAGCTAGGATCTATCTATAATCCCTGAGAGTCCAAGGTTGCATGAATGGGAAACAAAATATGCAGGGTTGCTGTTGTAATAGATGGGGCCACTCCCACACTTGTTGGTTCTCAGACTCCTGTATTCTAGCAGTAGTGGCACTATTCACCATTGGTCATTGGTTCACATCCTGGGTGGAAGGTGGTATCCAGGCCATATTAAGTGTTGACCCCTGGCCAGCACCTTAGTGGAACTGTCAGTAGTCTGTGTCACCATCATATCAGGCCAGTCAGTCCTGGATGATGGGTATGGGACAAGACCAGTGCATTCCATAGTCATGGGCTCATGGTCACACCTCCTTTGGTGTGAAATGGGTCCTTCGTTCTGAGGCAGTACTGTGGGATATCACAGGTAAGGCATTCTCTTAAGTCTTTGGGTGATGGTGTTGGCAGAACCATAGGCAGGTGTCATAAGGACAAAATACCGACCCAGGATTAACGGTGCCAAGTTGATAGCATCAGTCTGCTGTCCATTAGACAGGCCTTCAGCTATGGTGGTAAGGTGCGTCTTGATATAGGAAGTCCTTGCCATTGGGCCTGTGCTTAGCTGTTCTCCCTGACCTTGTTCATGGGCCTTTGCACAAGGATCAGATGGTGAGAAGAGTTTGCCTGGCAGCCAGAGGATGGTCATCTTGTTACTGTATTATTGAGAGACTTCCCTGTAGTATGTGGTTTCTGGTGCGCTTTCAGGTAAGACACAAACATCTCATGCTGTTTGCCCTCCTCCTTCCTTGGACTTCCAGTTTGACCCTTCTAGGCCCCTAACCTAAATGCCACTGTCAAAAGTCCATGTATCTCTGTACCTTCAGTCATTTTCTTTCTTACGAATGACTGACTGAGCCACTCTCAGCTTGGTATATTTGAAGGACTTCCTTTCACAATGTCTTTCAAGGACATCCCAAGCGGTGCTATAAGGAGGCAGCATGCAGCAGCAGGTCATTTCCGCCAACATGATAAGCCAGGCTGCTTGTGATTCACTCTGAGTCCTTTTCTTGTGCCAGTTAGTCGTAGGAACCCCCCATGAAGCATGGGTGCTGTCGAGGGGAGAGGCAGCACAGATAGGAGTCTGGGTCACATGTTCTGTGATTCACTTCGGCCTCGTGGCCACGCTTAGGTCCAGTCCCAAACAGGCTATTACCATTGCACAATAGCTCACTGCTGTGCACACTGAATTCTGTGATGGGTGGATCATATCACATCTATTTTATGATGGGAAACTGATCAGTTCTCACTTGGTGTCCTGCTGTTGGGTGATCTCTTGCTACCAGGGCACAGGAGCTGCTCTTCACATGACTGGTTCTCATCCCTAGAAGGCACCGATTTACTCTAGAATCCTACCCCTGTGTTCTCTCTCCGGTGTTGGAGCTTTCCAGATTCCAGACATCCTAACCAATCACAGATCTTGCTAGCACCTTCTGACCTGCTGAGTTCTAGGATCAAGAAGGGGGTGGGGCACCTGGGTGGCTCAGTCGTTAAGCGTCTGCCTTCGGCTCAGGTCATGATCCCAGGGTCCTAGGATCGAGCCCCACGTCGGGCTCTCTGCTCAGTAGGAAGCCTGCTTCTCCCTCTCCCACTCCCCCTGCTGTGTTCCCTCTCTCGCTGTCTCTGTCAAATAAATAAATAAAATCTTAAAAAAAAAAGACAGCATCTTGTGCCACAGCTAGGATCTGCTGGAGAGCCTACTTTGGCTCTGGGCCCCTGAGAATTTGGCAGCCTCTGGGGTTGCCCAATAAATGAGTCAGAGGAGTATTCCCAACTTTGGTAGTTGTTGCCTCCAAATTCAAATTCCAGAGAGACCCACAAAATGTTATTTTCATTGTTTTTGTTTAAGTGGAGATATATTTGAGAAATGATTGAAGGAATATTTACTGTGTTCATTTGCGATGGAGTTACAGGAATGTTACTGAAGGGGAACTGACCTTCCTTGCACTGAGTGCTCTAGGTCTACATTTAGAGCTGGGAACCTGGTGTGGGGTCTCAATGTTCCATCGAGGTGGAAGGCAACTAGTTCATTCATTCATTTTTTTTCCCTCTTTATATAAATAAACTAGCATCCTAGGGAATTGTGGTGCAACAGCCACTGCCTCAGATCCCTGCAGGTCAAACCATCTTGATTGCCATTCTGATTCTGCCCGTCCTTAGTCTGCTGGGATGGCCTTGGATATTTTTACTCAAGTAAAAATCAAAGGTGACTGCCCCATGTAAATGAAGATGTCTCGAGTCTCATATTCTGCCTTCCCTCATCAAACACCAAGATCCACTTTTACGCACACTCCCCAGGCTCTATTATTAGGTCCTGTAATTCCTTTGTTATGTAGGCACTTTTTCGTCAAAGCAGGGTTTGTATTTCTTTCTCCAGGCTCTGCTGATACCTGACTCTTGATATCAACCTAGAGGCAATGAGGAGTAGGGGGTAGGTCCTGAGGAGGCCAAACATCATCATTCAAGGCATCCACCTCAGGTGAGGCTAACATGGAAGGGGCTGTTTCTGACACCAGGAAGGATTCAGGGAAATGGGTGTGTATGTCACGATTCTCAGATTGTCCACCAAAATATCCCAACCCATATATATTACAGTATTACTCATCCTGCATCTGGGCCTGATTTTCACATAAGACCTGCTGAGGCTGTACATGCAGACTCCTTTGCATTCTGCCCTGTGCCGACAGAAGATAAGATTCTCTGGCTTTCATATGTTTTCTGAAGTTGGAGGATGACTATCATTTAATTTTTGTAAACCAACATGCTATTGAATTTCATCCAAGTGCTAGAGGGGAAACTAGTTCAGGTGGGTCACTGACCAAGAGAAATAAACAAGAGTACTTGAGACTCTTAAGAAGGTACACAGTTTCCTTCCCAGTATGGACATCACATCTGCAACTACAGAAGGTATTTCCTTTGCAAGTATACACAGAACATTTTAAAAGAAAAAAAATATATGCTGGGAAGTAAATCATGTCTCAGTAAATGTTAATATTATTCAAAGTATGTTCTCTGACCACAGTAAAATTATTTTAGAAATAAATGACAAAAATATCAGAAATTTTCATGTATTGAAATGAAGTTTTAAAAATTTATTTTCTATTTTTTTCCTTTTTATTTAAATTCAGTTAGCCAACATAAGGTACATCATTAGTTTTTGGTGGTGTTCAATGATTCATTAGGTGTATATAACACCTAGTGCTCATGACATCACTTGCCCTCCTTAATGCCCATCATCCCCCAACCCAGCTCCTTTTCCACAACCCTTAGTTTGTTTCCCAGAGCCAGGAGTCTCATGGTTTTTCTCCCTCTCTGATTTCTTCCCAGTTTTCCCTCCCTTCCCCTATGATCCTCTGCATTATTTCTTATATTCCACATATGAGTGAAACCATAAGATAACTGTTTCTCTGATTGACTTAGCATAATACCCTCCAGTTCCATCCATGTCAATATAAATGGTAGGTATTCATTTATCTGATGGCTGAGCAATATTCCATTGTATATATGAACCATGTCTTCTTTCTTCATTCATCTGTTGAAGGACATCTTGGCTCCTTCCACTGTGGACATTGCTGCTATGAACATTGGAGTGCAGGTGTCCCTTCATTTCACTACATCTGTATCTTTGGGGTAATACCCATTAGTGCAATTGCTGGGTCGTAGGGTAGCTCCATTTTTAACGTCTTGAGGAACCTCCACACTGTTTTCCAGAATGGCTGTACCAGCTTGCATTCCCACCAACTGTAAGAGGGTTCCCCTTTCTGTGAATCCTCACCAACATTTGTTGTTCCCTGTCTTGTTAATTTTAGTCCTTCTGATGGGTATGAGGTGGTATCTCATTGTGGTTTTGATTTGTATTTCCCTGATGACGAGTGATGTGGGGCTTTTTTTCATGTGTCTGTTGGCAATTTTTATGTCTTCTTTGGAGAAGTGTCTGTTTATGACTTCTGCCCATTTCTTGACTGGATTATTTGTTTTATGGGTGTTGAGTTTGATAAGTTATTTATAGATCTTGGATACCAGCCCTTTATCTGATATGTCATCTGCAGATACCTTCTCCCATTCCATAGGTTGCCTTTTAGTTTTGACTGTTTCCCTTGCCGTGCAGAAGCTTTTTATCTTGATGAAGTCCTAATAGTTCATTTTTGCTTTTGTTTGGGGGTCTTTTCTGGTTCCATACAAATTTTAGGATTATTTTTTCCAGGTTTGTGAAAAATGTCGATGGTATTTTGATAGGGATTGCACTGAATGTGTAGACTGTTCTGGGTAGCATAGAAATTTTAACAATGTTTATTCTTCCAATCCATGAACGTGGAATGTTTTTCCATCTCTTTATGTCTTTCTCAATTTCTTTCATAAGTGTTCTGTGGTTTTTAAGAATACAGATCCTTTACCTCTTTGGTTAGGGTTATTCCTAGGTATCTTATGGTTTTTGGTGCAATTGTAAACGGGATCGATTCCTTAATTTCTCTTTCTTCTGTCCCATTGTTAGTGTATAGAAATGCAACTGATTTCTCTGCATTGATGTTGTATCCTACCACATTGCTGAACTGCTTTAAGAATTACAGCAATTTTGGGGTGGAGTCTTTTGGGTTTTCTACATAGAGTATTATGTCATCTGCAAAGAGTCATCTGCAAAGAGAGTTTGACTTCTTTGCCAATTTGAATGCCTTTTATTTCTTTTTGTTGTCTGATTGCTGAGGCTAGAACTTCTAGCACTATGTTGAACAACGGTGGTGAGAGTGGGCATCCTTGTTGTATTCCTTACCTTAGGGAAAAAGCTCTGTTTTTCCCCATTGAGAATGATATTCACTGTGGGCTTTTCATATATGGCTTTTATGATATTTAGGAATGTTGCCTCTATCCATACACTGTGGAGAGTTAATCAAAAAAAGATGCTGTATTTTGTCAAATGCTTTTTCTGCATCCATTGAGAGGATCATATGGTTCTTGTCCTTTCTTTTACTAATGTGATGTATCACATTGATTGCAAATGTTGAACCACCCTTGCCTCCCAGGAATAAATCCCACTTGGTCATGGTGAATAATCCTCTTAATGTATTTTCGATGGTATTTTGGTAGGAATTGCACTGAATGTCTAGATTGCTGTGGATACCATAGACTTTTTAACAATATTTATTCTTCCCTTTGAGACATCCCTGCCTCAAAGGTGCTCACTTGGTGAAGCAGAGCAGAATCCTAGGTGGGGCAGTGTGGTCCCAGGATCCCTGGAGTCACAGAAGGAACGGGGGTGCCTGAGTCAGAGTTCCCAAGCATTGGAGTGGGGAAACTGGTTAAAGTCAGAGAGCTCAGGAGGGGGCTCTCAGCTCAATTCGCCAAAAACAGCAAGCCCGTGCTGCTGCCCGATTGGGTGACCGCTCTCCAAGTGGGGACCCTGCAAAGGACAAAAACATGGGGACCCTCAGCCTTCCTCTGGGAGGGGTGGAGCAGATGTGTGCACCACCGGGGACAGCTCTCAGTGTGGGAGCCCTGCAGAAGACAGGACAGTAGCGGCGGGTGAAGCAGGTGTACGCAGGACCAGGCAACAGTTCTCAATGTGGGGCCCTGCAAAGTGCAGAAATGTGTGACCCTCTGCCTTCCCCCAGGATGATCTGTGTGGGAGCTTACCACAGGAGTCTGCAGAGTTCGGCACACACAAAAGTGAAGACCGTTTATCCCTGAGGGTTTACAGAAGAGAGAGGACCTTGATCTTTTGGCTCTGGGACTGGAGATCCAGGCGCGGCCATTTTTATTTTGATCCTCTAAAGAGGCCCAGGGAACAAAAGCCACACAGAGCAACTGTAAAACTCTAGCGCTAGGGGAAAACAGTATATAGAATTCAAGGTTTTTTTCTCATGATTTATGTTTCAGTTTAAAATTTTCCATTTCTCTTTTTTCTTTTTTCCCTTTTCAACTAGTTTCTTATTTTATTAACTCTTTGTTTTTAAGTCCTTTTTTTTTTAACCTTCAATTTTTACATTTACATTTTATAGATATATTCTTGCTTCCTTTCACTCGAATCAATTTTATTTTTGTATATATGTAAGTTTAGCATTCTTTACAATTTGGGGATTTAGTGTCTTCTAACACACGGACCAAAATACACTGAGGACCAAGTGGATCACCCTGTTTTGTCCACCCTGTGAGATTATATTCTCCCCCCGCCCTTTTGTTTTCTTTCCCATATTTTTTCTTTTTCTTTTCTGGTTTCTGACCTCTTCAGATTTGTCTAGTATGTTATTTTGTTGGGTTGTGGTTGATATATTTGTTTTTGTTCACTCATTCATCCATTCTTCTCTGGGCAAAATGACTAGAAGGAGGAATTCACAACAAAAGAAAGAACCAGAGGTAATACTCTGCCACAGATCTAATCAATATGGATATAAGTAAAATGTCAGAGCTGGAATTCAGGATAGCAATTATAAAGTTACTAGCTGGGCTTGAAAAAAGCTAAAAGACACTAGAGAATCTCTTAGGGCAGAAACAGGGTCTAATCAGGCCGAAATTAAAAATGCTCTGAGATGCAGTCTAAATTGGATACTCTAACAGCTAGGGTAAGTGAGGCAGAAGAGAGAATAAATGACATAGAAGATAAGTTGATGGAAAGGAAGGAAGCTGAGGAAAAGAGAGAAAAACCACTAATGGACCATGAGGGGAGGCTTCGAGAAATCAGCGATGCCACAAAAGGAAACAGTATTAGAGTTACTGGGGTCCCTAGTGGAGAACAGAGAGAGGGCCAGAAGGTATATTTGAGCAAATCATAGCTGAGAACCTCCCTAATCTGGGGGAGGAAATAGGCATTCACATCAAGCGGCAGAGAGGACCCCTCCCAAGATGAATAAAAACAGATCAACACCCCGATGTATAATAATGAAGCTTGCAAATTTCAGAGATAAAGAGAAGATCCTGAAAACAGCTTGAGACAAGAGGTTCTTAATCTACAGGGGTAGGAATGTTAGACTGGCAGCAGACCTGTCCACAGAGAGCCGGCAGGCCAGAAAGGCTGGCAAGATACATTCAGGGTACTAAATGAGAAGAACATGCAGCCAAGAATACTTCATCCAGCAAGGCTGTCATTCAGAACGGAAGGAGAGATAAAGAGCTTCCAGGACAGGCAGAAACTGAAAGAGTATATATAACCACTAAACCAGCACTGCAAGAAATATTAAGGGGGGTACTGTAAGCAAAGAGAGAGCCCAAGAGTAACACAGACCAGAAACAGTCTACAGAAACAGGGACTTTACAGGTAATAACAATGGCACTAAATTCATATCCTTCAATAGTTAATGTAAATGGGCTAAATGCTCCAGTCAAAAAACCCAGGGTATCAGATTGGATAAAAAAGCAAGACCCATCAATATGCTGTGTACAAGAGATTCATTTAAACCCAAAGACACCTCCAGATTCAATGTGAGGGGTGGAGAACCATTTATCATGCTAATGGACATGGAAAGAAAGCTGGGGTAACAATCCTCTTATCAAATAATTAGATGTTAAACCAGAGACTGTAGTGAGGGATGAAGAGGGACACTATATCATACTTAAAGGGTCTATCCAACAAGAAGATCTAACAATTATAAATATTTATGCTCCTAACTTGGGAGCAGCAAATTATATCAACCAATTAATAACCAAAGTTAAGAAACACATTGATAATACAATAGTAGTAGGAGACTTCAACACCCCCACTCAGAGTAATGGACAGATCATATAGGCAGAAGGTCAACAAGGAAACAAGGGCTTTGAATGACAGATGGACTCCCAGATATATACAGAATATTCCATCCTAAAGCAACAGAATACTCATTCTTCTTGAGTGCACATGGAACATTCTCCAGAATAGATCACATACTAGGTCACATATCAGGTCTTAACTGATACCAAAGATTGGGATTATTCCCTGCATAT